TCTCCGAGCAACGATGCACAGTGCTGCTCAGAACGGAATAAGCCCACACTTCTGTGCAATGTCCTAAGTGAGGCAGGGCTGTCACAGGCCCCCTCCGTCCAGTTTGGCGTAGGAGGTAGACCGTGTGGCCCCGCAGCTCCTCCACGCCCCACAGGGGAGCTTCTCCCCACCCCACGTGTCTGCAGAAGTCACCTGGCTCACATTCATCCGTGCCACTTAGCGGGAAGGTAAGTCTCTTCTGACGGGCAGCGGTTGTTAGGCCAGAAGCTTCCCTCTGGCATTTCCAGGCCGCTGCAGACCCGCCCAGGCCCTGGGACAGCTACGACCTCAAGCAGCAGGCACTGGGTGGCCCTGGCTTTTGGAGTTCTGTCCTCACCCTCAGCCTGTCCTGAACCCCAGGTCCTAACAGCTGTCCACTTCTGCCCGCTGGGCTGCTGCCTCCCACCCCCGGCAGTCTTAACTGCACTCGGCTCCAGCGGGGTCTTTCCCAGCACCTGCGCCCTTTGTCCGATATCTGTCTGCCTCGCAGTCCTCCAGCCCCACTGTCTGGCTCTCTGCCTGTCCGTCCCCCACTTAGGGGCCCTGGTTCCCTGTTGGACACTGTGCTCCTAACATGGCCACGCCCTCCTGCCCATTCATGCGGCTCCTCCACCCCTCGCTGGGCCTCCTTTCGGGCCTCTTCTCTTCTTCCTCCCAGTCACTTGGACCATCCTGTCCACCCCAAGAGCCCAAGACCCTGGAAGGTCAGCCCATGGCTTGAGCGCCAGGCAGCCTTCGTATCCCAATGCAAGTGGACCTGGTGGTCCTTGGCAGGGGCTGAGGCAGCCAGCGAAGGCCAGCATCCACCTCCCAGAGAGTCACCTGATATAAAGACAGGGCATCGCCACACCTCCTGAGAGTCAGGGGAACCATCTCATGCCATTGGGGAGTGTCAAGAGCTGGGACCTCGGATTCAAAGATCCCTAACCCGCTGTGACCCTGGGCAGATGAAGTGGTGTGACGACAGTTCTGACTCCTCCTGAGGCTGCTTCGTACTTAAAGGAGGTAACGTATGTCCAGAGCTTATGCCCCGCACATAGTACGTGCTCAGTAAACGCCAGCTTTGCGAACTGTCTTGGAATGAGGTAAGCGGTAACTAAGTAAACTGAGTAGGCGGTTCGGACCCATTGCTGGTTCCGGAGGAGAAAGCCACGTTGCAGACGCAGGGAACATGAGGAAGTTTGAAAGGGACTGTGTGAAAGGTGCGCAGGGACGTTCAGTGCAGAACAAAGATGGACCTGGAAACAAAGGTGGGGCCAGATGGGCTTTTGAATGAACAGGACAAGTGGGCGGAGCCTCTGGGGAAAGAGACTGTGCCTCAGAGTTCCCACTGCACCGCAGAATAAACTCCCGCAGGCCCGGGACCCAGCTGGGACACCGAGACCGCACAAGCTCGAGAAGAAAATGTGGGCGGCTTCCTCTTGGACCTGGGTGTAGAGAAAGGCCTTTCAACCATGACTCCAATCCAGAGGCGACAAGAGACTGATGCCCGGACGGGTGAACACAATAGCGTGGCAACGAAAATACGAGAGAGTCGAAAACAACTGACTAACTGGGAGGAAATATGTAACACGTGCTGCGGCCAACGGCCAGCCGCACAAGCTCGAGAAGAAAATGTGGGCGGCTTCCTCTTGGACCTGGGTGTAGGGAAAGGCCTTTCAACCATGACTCCAATCCAGAGGCGACAAGAGACTGATGCCCAGGACGGGTGAACACAATAGCGTGGCAACGAAAATACCAGAGTCGAAAAACAACTGACTAACTGGGAGGAAATGTGTAACACGTGCTGCAGCCAACGGCCAAAAGTCTCCTCTAACCCGAACTCTTTAAAAAGGGCCAGAAACGGATGGAAATGGGAAAGACAGGCACAATCAAGTCTCAAAAATATATGTGTGGCCCTTAACATATGGAAGATGTTCAGATCCACTCATAAATTAGAGAGATGCAAACGAATGCACTGAGAGACCATTTCTCCATCAGACAGTGAGCATTCAGAAGTGTGGAAACCCAGTCTCGGTGAGGCTGTGGGAACCAGCCCCCCTGCCACGCCCCCCTTCCCCCGGCTGCTGGGAGGGAGCTGGTACAGCCTTCCGGTGGCAACGTGTTGGACCGAAATGACCCGTGCTCTCACTGTGGATCCAGCAAACCCACTTCTAGGTCTCAACCCTGCAGACACAGTTCCAACAACACGAAAGGTCATTCATTCAACACGACCTAAAACTGGGAAGTATTGTTAAAACCTAAGTGTCCCCTTGTTAGGAAAGTGGTTAAAAAACTGAGCACGGTGGGGTATTACTCAGATGTAAGAGTGAATGAGAAGGCTATGCACTGATAAGGTCTGTTTATAGGATATACTGTCAAATGAAAAAAAAGTGCAAGAAGAGAATCTATAGTATAATATACTCCATGATACAAAGAGGGGGATATAAGAAAAATGGTTACACCTACTCATTTGTGCAAAAGAAGCACAAGAAGGAAAGGCAGAGTGAATAAGATTGGTTACACAGCAAGTGGGTGGGAATGTGGGGAAGAATGGGCAACATGGGGCTGGGAGTGGGGATGAGGGGCAAGGGCACCTCTCTGGGCCTCCCTTTGAGTGTCGCTGATGCTAGATGCCCCAAGGTGATGGTCTGCTTTCCGTGTCAAACTGGCCACACCTTGGTCCCCAGTTATTCTATCGCACGGGGCCCTGGGTGTTCCGGAGATGGCTCACAGCTACAATAAGCTGGCTTTGGGACGATGATCTTTGATAGTGTGGGCGGGGCCTCACTGGTCAGTTGAAAGGCCCTAAGACCGAGTTAAGGAATTCTGCCTCGAGGCTGCAGTACCCACACTGGACTTGCCAGACACCACCATCTCATAAAACAATTCCCTGAAATAAATACTGCTATAGACAGCGTTTCCTACACCAGGTTTAAGGGGGATTCACCCACGTTCTCATGGTGCATGCTTGCATGGTTCCCTTGGTTACATCTAAGTCCCTGGTATGAATATGTGTGATCTATATCTCTGTCTCTATCTATTGTCTACATGTCTGTACCTGTATCTACATCTATCTATTATCTATCTATCTATCTATCTATCTATCTAGCCATCTATCTACCCATCTCGGCTTCTAAACACCATTCGTTAATCAAAGGAGCCAGGGCTTCTTGGAGAAGTGGCTGATTCCAGGGCTGGAGCAGAAACTGTACAAGAGGAGCCTGGAACATCTCTGTGGCACCTAAGGAACTGCCCCCAAAAGGACACAAGAGCACTTTAATGGCCGAAGCTGGGACAATTTAAGAACCCTTGTGAGGACAGTGGACTCACCGGATATCCAGGATCACCTCCCACCTCAAGGTCAGCTGATGAGCAACCTTAGTTCTGCTGCATCTGCTTCCCCTTTGCCATGTAATGTAACATGTCATGTCATGTAACACGTCATGTAATGCAACATTGGTTATATAAGGACATTGCAACACATGTCATGCAATGTAACATATGCTATTGTAAGGTATAATGATGCTGTTGAAATAAGGGCTTTTGCTCCTTGTTCCCTTAATTATCTTGATTTTCTTTTTCTTAAATTATTTTTTAATTGTTTTTATTGACTTTAGAGAGAGGAAGGGAGAGGGAGAGAGAGAGAGAGAAACATCAATTGGCTGCCTCCCACATGCACCCCCACCAGAGATTGAATCCGCAATCTGGGCATGTGCCCTGACCAGGAATCGAACCGGAGATCTTTCAGTGCATGACACTCAACCAACTGAGCCACACCAGCCAGGGCGTGATTTTCTTTTTAAATAAAATGAATTTCCTGGCCCCCTCCCCCCACCCCATGCTTCTATTTCTGGCTGTATCGCCACTGGGCTCTGATGACGGACAACTCCCCCGGGCCTGAGTGATAATCATTCCCGCTTGCGAACTAGCCACTGTCGGAAACTGGCTGTGGCGGCTTCAGTTTCGAGTGATGTCACCACTGCTTCTGTGGGAACATCTCTAGCGTTATCCCGTCTTCTGCTAGGTGACAGCCTGCAATTGGCTGCACAAACCTATGATCGCTCACGCAGAGGAGGGGCAGGGCATGCGACCAGGGGCCCCAGAGAGAGCACGGCCTCTTCCGTGGATCACAGTGATAGACAACCTTGACCTAAACTAAACAAGTCACTCAGCCCAGGCATAGGCCAAGCTGCCTCAAGAACAAGCAGCTCTGATTTTTAACACCCTGCCCGGCCCCCAATTTCTCACCCGTGATTGATTTTTCAGTTTAGAAAATGAGATCTTGAAGGACAAGAATGAGGGGACCCCACCGTCCCCAGGGCTCCTGCCTCTTCACACCAAGTTCTGCTCGGGCTCCAGGGGCTGAGGTCCTGGCCCGGGACCAGAGAAGCCCCGGCCTCTTTGAGGCAAAAGGGAGGCAGTGGATGCAGCCCGCGGGGTGGGAAGAGGGGCGTTTTGGTAGAAGGACTGAGTCACGAAGGGGAAGGCTCAGTGCCCGCTGTCCACTGTGGGGTGCCATGGCCACCCCGCCAAGGACAGCCTCCCCGTGACTCCAGGGCGCTCCTAGCCATGAACTGATGGAAGGACAGCCTTGGCCTGACCATGGGGACCAGGGGAACCAGCAGGGACATCCCTGCAACCCAGCACCTGTCAGACTCGGCCACGAGGCCCCTGGGCCGCGCTCTCCGTGGTCCCCAGACGCCTGCACTTAGATGGGCCACAGGAATCTACGTCTGGACACGGCCCTAACGGGACGCTCCGTCTCCTGCTGCCTTGAGGATCCCAGGTCATCACGGACCTCCTGCCCCTCACTGTCTGCACTTACCTGTCACTGGCCCCTCCTTCCCCCTCATCTGTCCCCCACCCATGACCACAGCCTGTCCGTCACCCTGGACTGTGGTGAAGAACCCTCACCAGGCCCTGTGGCTCCAAGGTCCCCCCAGCCATGTCCCTCCCCCCAGTAGGCACACTTGACTCACTCGATGGTCTTGCCCCAGTCACACCACAGCGTCCTACCGATGGCCTCCATGTTCACCTTGAATGGGGCGAGGCAGACCTCCTGCAAGATGGTATCGTAGTCGACGTCCCAGCAGGCGGTGGCCATGAAGAGGTGATGCACTGCAAGGACAATGTGTGGGGACTGTCACCCTCCGGCCTCGTCCCCGCCCGCCCTCCCCTGCCTTCCCGCCCACCTTCCCTGCAGGCCCGGGCTCTTCTGTCCAACACACACACATCCGTCTGGGGCTCCCATCCCAGAGGCACCTGGGGGCTGCCATGGGGTCTTACTTGTCCCGAGAATCCGATGTGCGGGGATACCGGGCACAGGGTCTGACACGCATCCTCACTCAACCCCTGACATGTTCCCAATGCCTCCACTTCACAGATGTGGAAACCGAGGCAGCAAGAATGATCGCTGGGGCTGGACCCAGGCTCCTCACCCATGAGGCCTGTCCATTGAGTGAGGAGGAGGAATCACCTGTGGTGGTGGTGGGGACACAGCAGGACAGGGTCCTGTCCCAGGGGTGGGGACCTGGCTGCACCACCAGCCCAGACTGGCTCACCATCCCCCCCCCTCAGCCCTGGCTCACACCCCATGTCTGATTTTTACCGGTTATAAATAAGCTGACAACTTGTGGCATGACGTGTCCTACCCTCCTGCCTTGATTAACACGCGATCAAAAATGAAAACTGCTGGTCAAGCAGCGCACTGCTGATTGGCTTCACTGGAGGCTGCTTGGGTAGAGGTGGGGCAGGCTGGCCAGGGTCCCCCGGGGCCCCACCTGCAGGCCTCCTCCTCCTCCTCAGGCCCAAGGCCTGCTTTGTTCCCTCTCCGTGGGGCAGGCAGGTGGTGTCCTTCCCAGATCCCCTTGCAGCGGTTCTCAACCTGTGGGTCGCGACCCCTTTGGCGGTCGAACGACCCTTTCACAGGGGTCGCCTAAGGCCATCCTGCATATCAGATATTTACATTACGATTCATAACAGTAGCAACATTACAGTTATGAAGTAGCAACGAAAATAATTTTATGGTTGGGTCACAACATGAGGAACTGTATTTAAAGGGCCAGAAGGTTGAGAACCACTGCTTTAGGGTGAGGCTGCAGGCTCACCTACTGCCCCCAGGCTATGCTGGTCTCTGCCCAGCAGCTCCCCCTGCCCCACCAAGGGGGCCCTAAGGAAGCCCACCTGTGGGACAGGGGAACGGCCAGGGCTCCTGGGTAGCTCAGGAGGCTCAGACACGGAATTCAGGAAGGAACTCTAAGCCATCTGTCCAGCCTCATCTGAGGACAGCCTCTGTGATGGTTCCCATCCCCTCACTGCCCCAGGACCCGCCCTGTCTCCCACCAGGACGCTTTTCCCTGCAAACCCCAGACCCAAAGGTCCCCCTCCCCTGCCTTCCTCCCCCTCCTTCCTCCTCTTCCATCTCCTCTCCCTCCCCCTCCTGGGCCCAGCCCACTTCCTCAGCACCTCATTTGGGTGGTAGAACATTTCCTTCTTTTCTGAGGACCTTTTGTGCTGCCCGGTCACCTCCCACTCGTTTCTGATACATGTACGTCCTCCCAGCAGCTCTGCATGTTAATATGCGTCAAACGAACAAGATGGCAACACCCAGCTTCATTCTGTGTGGGCGTGAGGCCGGTGCCTGCGACTGGCCCATGGAGGTCCGGAGCTCGGAGGACCCCTCCTGTCTGGAAGGGCTGGTTTTAGGGAGAATGAAGACGACCACACATCTCAGCCAGGGCTCTCTGCAGCACGGAACAGAGCCACTCGGCTGACACGACATCGGACAGACCTGTCATAGGGACACCAAGTTCCCAGAAGGGCAGATCGTCCAGCAGAGCCAGTCACCAGGGTAGGGCAGGGCAGGGCACCTCCACTGGTCACCAGCAGGGAGTGCTGGTGTTGGGGGCCAGGGGTGCCGCTGTCCCCTCCACCTGTCCCCAGTCCCTCCCAGTACATTCTGGTCAATTTCTCCCTGCGGCCTCTGGGCCATGGAGCACAGCCCTGCCCCTACCCCACTGGCCTGCCCTATCTGGCAGCCTCAGTGCTCACCCTAGAGCAGGACCCGCCCCTCCCCAGTCCCTGGCCTTGACCCTGGCTGGGCTCTGAGCTGGTCCCCCTGAATGCTGCATCTCTCACCTCTGCCGCCCCAGGGTGGGACCCTGCTCTCTGGGAATGGAGACTCTACTTCCCTCCCTGCCTTGGGGGAGCCAGAGCGGCCTTGCTGTGGGTGAGGCTGGCCAGCTGCCAGGGAGCCTGAAACCATAGTGGTTTAGGTGCAGGAGAACAGCTCACTTCTCTTAACCAGCCTGATGCAGTTTCTTCCGTCGGAAAGAGAGACAGTATAGTTTAAAGCTGAATAAAATTGCCCAGAGTTTTAAAGCCAGCTGTTTGGATTCCATTCCTGTGAGACTGCAAATGGATTCATTCATCATGGCTTCGAAGGCCGTGAGCAGACGCACTCCTTCCGTGAGTCAGGACAGGAGCTGCCGGGCACATGCACCATCGGGAATTCAGAGACAGGGCCCCTCTGTCCACAGCAGGAAACCAGCCCTGAGATGAGGACACAGGCGGAGGAAGGCAGGGGGATCCCTCAGCACAGTGACAGGCAGGACTCCCGGCTCCCCCCAGGGCCACGGGGCTCCAGGCCGAAGGGCAGCTGCACGGAGACCTTGGACATCCGGGTTTCTAAGGAGAGATGACGGCCCAGCAGTGCGAAGCGGGTGGGCCTCACTTTAAGCCGCCCAGTCTGTCTGCACAGGTGGCAGGAGGGCCGTCCTGCTGCGGCTGATTCCACATTTGCAGAGAGAACCACAGAACTCCCATCGTCCTCCTCCTAGAGCTGGGGGAGCCCGGTGACGGTGCGGGAGGAGCTGGGGGGAAGGCCCTCCACTGGGAGGCCCGCTGGTCAGAGTGACCAGTCTGGGGGCTAAACACAGAGCCTCCCCTTTGGTGCCGGTGAACTGGGGTAGGAGCAGCCCACGTGCCTGCAGGGACCCACGACACCCCTGACCTTCCAGGCGGCACAGAGGAGGCCACACAGGCTCCTGCAGGCCTGTTCCCCTCTTGGCCACAGTTTCTTTATTGGAGAAGTGGGACAGTCCCCCCCCCCCCCCCCCGCCCCCGCCGTGAACTTACAGGACTGCTTTCCAGAGGATTCAGTTTAGGGATTCCGCCTGAAAAACGAGCGGCCCGTCCCTGTGAGGTTTCAGTGTGAGCCACCCTCAGCACCTCACAGGGCACTCGGGCCCCTGGGGTCCAGCAGGGACAAGGGGGAGGGTGCTGGGGAGAGGGGAGGAGGGGGAGGAGACAAAGTTCGCAGGACACTTTCAAAGGTGGTGGGTATAGATTCGCGCAGTCTTGAGCCCACACAGGTGTACACGTACACGTATGTCAGGACCCTCCAGATTACTCTAATATATTCACTCTAATGTACTCAGTTATCCCATGTCAATTATACCTCAATAAAGCTGTTTAACAATGAATGTGAAGAAAATATCAAGAGTGGGCTATCTCTGAGTGGTGTAATATGGGTGATCTTTATCTTCTGCCTTTCGTTCCCCTATATTGTCCACAGGTTAAAAAACATACTTTATAAACTACTATCTCTGTATTCTGTGCACATCTTCCCCTAACCCTTCAGAGAAAGCCTTGCTCGGCAGGTTCTGACTGCAGCCGTGAATCATTTTCCGCTCACCCTGCCAGGGCCCTCAGGGTGAGAACCACCACTTCCAGCACCCCCTGGTTCCTGCCACCCGCCGGGAGCCAAATCCCCAGGAAGCCACATGCCTGCCTGAAAAAGGAAAACCAAAACCAAGACAATGACAAACTGAAAAAACAAAAACTACATGCAGTAAAAACTCCTACTCAACCGTCAAGGCCTGGTCAACTCCCACCGCCTCTGCCCGCACAGCACACACTCTCTGACGGTCAGCGTCGCACATGTTGCAAACCTTCCTCAGCCCACGTAGACCTGAGCCAACAGAGTCTCCGGCCATCACCTGTTTTTGGTCCTCCTGGTCAGTTTCAGCCACTGTCCCTGGCTCTGGCCTCGAGATGCTGTGTCCCCTCCCTTCCCCTCCTTGAGGTGCCTGCTCTGTGCTGGATGTGGGGGACTGTTAATATGTCCCCTGAATCTACAAGAAAATGGGATGCTAAGTCAGGTAAATGAAGAAGTGGCATCCAACAGGTGAGCAGTGGAGTCAGATGATGTCAGCCTAAAAACGATAAACCACCGTGTTGTCCCTGACAAGGTTAAATCCCACCCGATGAGCCCCGAGGGGAGCCTCACGCCCACCAGGAAGCTACCAGCACAAAGACAGAGAGGACACGGAGAAAGTGGACCCCTGTGCACGGCTGGTGGGAATGGGAACAGTGCATTTGCTGTGAAGAGTCTGCTGTGAACAAGTTAAACATAGAGTTATCATATGACCTAGCAATTCCACTTGTAGATATATGCCTCCAAAGAACTGCAAGCAGGGTCTCAAATAGACATTTACACGCATATGTTCATAGCAGAATCATTCACAATAGTCAAAAGATAGAAGCAATCCAGATATCCATCAACAGATGAATAGATAAACACAGTATGGTCCATCCATACAATGGAATATTATTCAGCTTTAAAAAGGAGAAAATCCTGTCCAGCTGGTGTAGCTCAGCAGTTGAGCATCGACCCAGGAACCAAGAGGTCACAGGTTCGAATCCTGGTCAGGGGTGGGGGTGGGTGCAGGAGGCAGCCTATCGATGATGTTTTTCTCTCATTGATGTTTCTATCTCTCTCTACCTCTCCCTTCCTTTCTCTCTAAAAATCAATAAAAACATGTTAAAAAAAAAAAAAGAGGAGAAAATCCTGTCACATGAACGAAGCTTGAGGACATTATTCTGAGCGAAATAAGCCAGTCATGAAAGGACAGATTCTGTATGGTCCCACTTACATGAGGAACCTACAGTAGCCAGAGTCAGACAGAAAGTAGAAGGGTGGGGGAGGGGATGAGGAGTGCGTGTTTAATGGGGACAGAGCTTTAGTTTGGGAAGATGGTGATGGTGGGACAACAATGTGAAGGTACTTAATGCCACTGAACTGTATACTTAAAGTGGTTAAGATGGTAAATTTTATGTTATGTGTATTTTATGACAACTTTAAAAAGCATTGAGTGGGTTAAAGAAGGTTCCACTATAACAACTCACCATGGGAATGTGCCGTCAGGGATTGCATGTGTGGATTCCCGCACAGAGCATGCAGGAACTCAGCAAAGAGTCAGAAGACAGAGTTAAAATTGGGAGGGGCTGGGAGATAGGCCTTCCTTACAGGTGACCTATCTGAAAAGCCAAGAGTGGGGAAGAAGGAAAACAAAGCAAGAAGCCAGCTCTGTGGGAAACCGAGTGCAGGGAGATGGCCAACCACAGAGCAAATGTACAAAAAAGGAGCTTTCTTCTGTTCCAGCAACAACAAGTTAGAAAATAGACTGGGAAAATATCCACTCACAGTAGCAGCCAGAACCCCACAAGATTCCTAGACGTTGAACCAGTAATCTGCAGGTCCATAAAGGCAGAGGAGCGGTCACGATATTCATCCTCCCCATCAATTCATAGGTCAGTGCAATTACCGTCCAAAGCCCAACAGACATTTAGCTCAAAAACCAGGGGCATCCCAGATGCATCAAATGTTTTTACAAAGTGAAGGAAGAATCATTTAACTTCAGGACCATCCCTGTCGGGACCATCCCTCTCATCCAAGGCTCTCACTGCAAACTCTCCAACCACACCCCTCTTCTGTGCCCTGAACTTGTACCTGCCATGGTCTCTGAGTGTCCAAGAGGAGGTGGCCGCTGTGGATGGGGCTGCCAGCTTTAGTGAGCAAAAATAAAGATGCCTAGTTAAATCTGAATGTCAGATAAACAATGATTCCCCAATTGCATGAGACATATGTAAACTAAAACGATTAGTCACTGATCTGAAATCTAAATTTGACTGGGACCCTGGGTCTAACCCTGAAGTCTAAGCTCCCACCCTCCACTTGGGCCAGGAGCCTGGTTGACCCCTCTCCCCCTCCCCAACCTCTTCCTCACTGCTCAGGCCCAAGCCCAAGGCCGATCTTCAGTTTCACCTCTGGAACTCTCTGGAATCTCCACTCTTTCCATCTCAATCCTCTGTCCTGACTCCACCCAGCCTCCCTCCCCTGGACCCCTGCCTGCACTCCCACCCCAGCCCACACTGCGAAGTAGCCCAAGGCTTTTAAACCAAACTCTCATCACCCCTTTTAATATCCTGCAGGTTTCCCCTTTGCCCTTGGAATGAAATCTGAGCTGTCTACCTTGGCCCAGAGGGTGAGTCCTCCAGCCCAGCCTTGGGTCAAATGCTTGGCCACAAAGGCTTCCAACAAGTCCCAAATCAGGGCCTTTGCACAATGCCCTGGGTCTAGAGGCTCTTCCCAAGCTCCCCGGGGCTCTGATCAGCCAGAGCCCTGGGCTTATTTCTTCTGCA